GAATTAACAATTACAGATTTTCAAAACTAAAAATGGGAGGAGAATTTCCTATTCTCTTGTGCACCTGAATTAGATTTTAAATTTTTGACTCATATTCACCCATATGCAGCCATAGCATGTACATAAACAAGTGCGTATAGCTATGTTTCAGTACAACTCTGTTATGGACACAGAAATTGAATTTCCTTTTTTTTTTTTTGAAACAGAGTCTTGTTCTGTCACCCAGGCTATAGTGCAGTAGTGGCTCAATCTCTGCTCACTACAAACTCCACCTCCCAGATTCAAGCAATTCTCCTGCCTCAGCCTCCAAATAGCTGGGACCACAGGCTAATGCCACCACACCCGGCCGATTTTTGTATGTTTAGTAGAGATGGGGTTTTGTCATGTTGGCCAGGCTGATCTCATGTTACTGAACTCAGGTGACCTGCCCACCCCAGCCTCCCAAAGTGCTGGGGTTGTGTGAACCACCACGCCCAGCCTGGCCTTTTATCTTTCAATCAAAATATAGATTCAACAAAATTCCTATAACTAGATAGAAACACTGTCATCTGTCCATCTGTGCAGCTTAGGAAGGCAGCAAAAAACTGTATCTTTATAAGCCAATTCAATGCCCTGCAAAGACAATCTCATTATAGCAATATTAAAGTTTTTTAAAAATCTAATGTTTTTAACAACTTGACAGAATAATTCACTATGAGTCTGTTGATCTTAACCCAGCTGGAAACATTTCCTCGGCCTGACCTTTCCTCACTTTGCTTATGTATATTCATGGTTCTGTTATCGTTGTAATGGGTATATATGTTCAATTTGGTATTCTTCCTTTTGTGTAACATGATTTATCCAAATATTTTCTGTTTTCTATACCATGTTTATATTCATCATTTTTAGTATATCACTAGAGTATATCATTTTGATATGCCATAGTTAGCTTCTTTCTATATATCTGTATTGTTGGGCTCTTAGCTTTATTCCAATGTTTTGCTATCATAAAATAAACATTATATATACATATACTTTTTATTAAACATTATTTCCTCAGGATAAATTATATTACTTGGTCAGGGGTTAGGCATATTTATGATTCTTTCAATAAAATACCATTTTGCCTTTCAGGAAGACTGAATCAATTTACACTGCTATCATTAATGCATGAGCATATCTGCCTCCCGAAGCCTTGCAGGCTTTGGCTTTTATCACTTTTTAAAAGTTTTTCTAATTTTTTTTAAGGCACAAAATGAAACTTCACAGTAGGTTTAATTTGCAGTTATTTTACCAACAAGGTTGACTGAATAGTTTTAAAATTATGATTTGCTGACAGTGTTTCTTCTTGTATGAACTGTTTTTTAATCGTTTGTTTAATAGACACTTGGTATTGTTACCTATTTATATGCATTCTTCATACTTTTTAGTTATTGAACGTTTGTCTTTATGTGCAAACCTTTTCTCCAGTCTTCTGAATTTTTAAATTTCAGCTTTATTGGTATTCATTCCATCAAAGATAAAACTATCTAAGTAATGAACCTATCTTTTTTCTATTTGTATTCCAACAACAATCAGAAAGTGATTTCCCCTAGTGCTAGTCTTTTATATGTGTGTATTTATTTTAATATATGTGTGTAAAAATATGTGTAAAACATTTTTAAAATACTATGTTAAAAACTACATATTATAAAACATTATTACACATATTTTTTACATGTTTTATGTAAAAAAATTATATGTGTAAAAACACATAATATATATGTGTTTTTATTTTAAAAGTATTTAACTCCCAATTTACCTGGATTTTTTTTTTTTTTTTGCTGATCGTAGTGGAAAGTATGGGTCTTTTTAATATTCTCATAATGGATATTTCTGTCTTCCAAGGGTTTCAAATTGATTACCAGTACATTTAATGTCTGCTAGGACAAAATGACTCTCTTTGAATCTGAAATACCCTTTGATGTTCTTGCCCATTTATTTTTTCCATATACAATAAAAATTATATTAATTTTAGCCGGGCACGGTGGCTCAAGCCTGTAATCCCAGCACTTTGGGAGGCCGAGGCGGGTGGATCACGAGGTCAAGAGATCGAGACCATCCTGGTCAACATGGTGAAACCCCGTCTCTACTAAAAATACAAAAAAATTAGCTGGGCATGGTGGTGCGTGCCTGTAATCCCAGCTACTCAGGAGGCTGAGGCAGGAGAATTGCCTGAACCCAGGAGGTGGAGGTTGCGGTGAGCCGAGATCGCGCCATTGCACTCCAGCCTGGGTAACAAGAGCGAGACTCCGTCTCAAAAAAAAAAAAAAAAAAAATTATATTAATTTTATAAAGCATCTTGTTTCTAATTGGTGGCTGGCCACCTGAATCCGCACTGTGATGAGTTGAGGTTGAGTTGCATCCTTGGTAAGGCTCAATATGCATCAATTTTACTTCTGCTTCTTCAGGATTTTCAGCAGAAATCCTGCTGCATTCTCCATGCTCTTCCACATGGTGGGTCCTGAATTCTAATCTTTTTCTTTACAAGACTGCCGAAGTCTCTGTTCTGCTTCAGAGGTTTTCTCCTTCTGTGTTTAGACGCTACCTTGTGCATCCCTGGAATTTAATAGATGTCCTGTGGAGACCTTCCAAGTCTCCTCCCATACCCCGACTGGACTCTGGCTCCCAGCAGCGGTCTTCCATGGATGTAAGGCCTGGGGTTATCAGTATCCCACCCAAGCACAGAATCAGCAAATGACCCCTGGGCACAGTGCCTGCAGAACTCAGCTCTCCCTAGCTGTGCTTCTCTCTCTGGAGTTTCAGTTCCTTCAGTTCTTGCTAATTAAGAAGCCCTTTTCTGCCTTAAAATAGGTGCCTTCTCTATTTTGTTCTAATTTTCTGTTTATTTTAGGTGGGAACACACTTTGTTACTAGCTAATTCATATCACTTGGAAACATAGGTTTATTTCACCTTAAACATTTTCTCCTACTTTCTTATATTTTAAAAGCAAAAAGTCTTATTTCTGTTTGACATATTTCTCAGGAAAGCCTATTCTGACTTCTCAGACTCAGTTAAGTAGTACATTTTACAGCATTCTCTACCTCTTTTTAGATGTTTATTAAAATTTTAGTTATTTAATTCTGTAATTTTTTTTAATGTTTCTACTTTTTATTTTTTTGAGACAGAATCTTGCTCTGTCACCCAGGCTGGAGTACAGTGGTGTGATCTTGGCTCACTGCAACCTCTGTCTCCAGGGTACAAGTGATTCTCCTGCCTTAGCCTCCCGAGTAGCTGGGACTATAGGCATGCACTACCACGCTCAGCTAATTTTTGTATTTTTAGTAGAGACGGGGTTTCACCAGGCTGGTCTCGAGCTCCTGACCTCAAGTGATCCTTCCGCCTCGACCTCCCACAGTGCTGGGATTACAGGCATGAGCCACTGCCCCAGCCTATTATTTCAGTTTAAATATGAGGAATTAAGCCTCTTAGTGTAAGTGACTTGCCCAGGTTTACCCAGTTAGCACATTATGTTAGTTCTAAAGTCAGGACTGATCCCTCCAAGTTTACCAATGCTAGGCCAGGACTACATGATGCCAACTCTTGATATTCTAAAATAAATTTTCTTTCTTTCTCTTTTTTGATTTCTAATTTTTTTTGTACTTAATCTCTTGAATTTTTACTCTGCTAGGGACCGAATTGCGTTACCCTAACAGAGTTAAATTAGAGTAACTCTGTGAATTTAGCTGCAAGATTCCCTTTCTATGTTTACTAACATGGTGAAGACCAAAGCAAGGATATGTAATAATTTGATCAATTAAGCTTGTAAAGTGTATGTACTATAAAGCATGTTTACTAAAAGAAACTGTATTTGTTCTAGGGAAGTATTTAGAAGAAGTTGAATTTGTTCATACTAGCTATGAATGATCTCACCATTTACAGTGTAGTGGGTTATCTGTGATTGCAGATATGCTGGAGGGAAGGGATGGATCTGAAAGGCTACCATCAGTAGGAGGAATAAAACTTGTTCTGTGTCCTTCAGGAGTCTGGACAGTGATCAGCAGGTAATAGACACAGAGAAACTGATTTCAACTTTTGAAAAAAAAGCTTTCCAGTAAATAACGCTGTCCCACAATGGAATAGGGTCCCTCAAGATGTTGAGTGCTGAAAGTGATCAAGCAGAGGCTAGAGAGCTTCATGCCTGGGAGCAGGGGAAGATTGGAGGAGAAGGTCGAGGGCTATCTGTAATCACAGATAACCTGCCGCACTCTAAATGAATTTGTAAACCTTGTGTTCAATTAATACATTACCATTTTTACTATGAGGAATTTGAGTAGCTATCTACTATTGGTGCAGAAAAAAATGAAAATATTTCCTCTGATTCATCCAAGCAGAGTGTGTGTCCTTTTTTTCCACAAGTGCGAGAAGGAATTGAAAGGAAAAAAAGGAACAAGAAGGAGAATAATGGTAAGAAAAGCAATGAGAAGATATTTGAAACCGTAAAGCCTTCTATGAAAGTAAGTTCCAGCTGCCAGTCCAGAATTAGAGCTCACGGTCTCTGGTCTCAGATCAATCAGATACCATTTGCCAGAACTCTAAAGATCCAGAGAAAAGAGATGCATTTCTTCAGTAATTAGCAGTTTGACAAGACTTCCAATTTTGATACTAAATTGAAACAGTTAGTTCTTAGGCTAGAAGTAGAGACCATTCTAGTTATATGGGGAGAAAACATGAAGCCAAGTGGCAAGGAGATGGACTTAAAGGATGGAAAGATATTCAGCTTCAGACTGATGGAAAGTAGAATTTCTAAATAACTATAATTATTTATTGGTTTATAGTTTGTTCCTCAAGAAAGCATCAGAACTTTAATAACATGGGTATACTGTACTCAAAACTTGTGTGTCTTACTCCTGAAGTAAGAGCACAGCTAAATAAACTGAGGAACAACGTCCTTTAGTAATAACATTAGAGGAGGCAGCAAGTCTGCAGTGGACACTGTAAATAAGAGCCCACCTAACCTAAGTAAAATGGTCTTTTCTTTTTGAGATAGGGTTTTGCTCTGTGATCCAGGCTGGACTGAAGTGGGAAGAGCATGGCTCACTGCAGCCTCAACCCCCTGGTCCAAGCGATCCTCCCACCACAGCCTCCCAAGTAGCTGGGACCACAGGCATGCACCACCATGCTGGGCTAATTTTTTTTTTTTTTTTTTTGTAGAATAAAAATAGACAGGGTCTCCCTATGTTGCCCAGGCTAGGAGTCCTTTCTTGTTCTAACATGGCTCACTAGAATTCTGCACTGGGACTAAGAGCCAAGGTCCAGGCAGTAACTGCATTACTTAACCTTGCTTTGTTCTCTGGGACTGTATTTCCTTCAGGTAACCTACAAATTGCAGCAATAGAGCATTTTAACTGCCTTTTGAAGGTAGATTAGGATCTTTACATCTCATATTCTAACCTCATATTTATCAAGAAATATAGGTGCCTTATTTTGACATGACATATAGGTAGAAACATGCAATGAAATACTATGCGACCATTAAAAATGATACATAAAATATTTAATGACATGAGGAAAATGATACACTGCAAAATAAAACTGATTATTAAACTATAAGATGATCACAGTTTTTAAAACTATAATTCTATGTACATAAAAATAAGGAAAAGATACAAAACAGAATAACTCAGCCATTAAAATTGTGTTTGCAGAAAAAATAACACCACAAGAGAACAACTTGTAATGTTAAATGAAAAATAATAGAAATAATATTATATGATTCATGACTGCACAAAATGTGATTTTGACTTTGTTGAATTTGGATGGAGAAGAAACTGGAAGGGAGAACATGAGAAATTGGCAGTGGTTTTCCCTTAGTGCTAAAATTACGAGTGAGTTTGGTGAGTTATTTTTCTTTATACTCTTCTGTCCTCTTTAAATGTGCATGTAATTTATTTATAATAATGTAAATACTTCTTAAATGTCTATAACTCTTCAAAAGTGATGCTTCAGGAGAAATGAGCTGTTAAGCATTTTAAGAATTTACGTGACTCTAATATACTGGAGGGAAGGGATGGATCTGAAAGGCTACCATCAGCAGGAGGAATAAAACTTATTCTGTGTCCTCCATAGGTCTGGACAGTGATCAGTAGGTAATATACATAGAGGAACTGATTTCAACTTTTGAAAAAAAAGTTTTCCAGTAAATAATGCTGTCCCACAGTGGGATAGGTTCCATCAAGATGCTGAATGCTGAAAGTGATCAAGCATAGGTTAGAGGGCTTCTTGCCTGGGAGCAGGGGAAGGCTGGGGGAGAAGGACAAGAGGACAGTGGGGTAGAGGACCTCTAACATCATTTTTACTGCTAACATTCTATTTGTGCATTCATTTGCTCAATCATACAACTTCCAAGATGGCCCCCAATGAGCCTTGCCAGTGTGTATTCATGCCCTTGTGCAATTCCCTCCTGGATTGAACAAGCTGATCCAAGTAATCAATAGGATACTTTGGAAAACATGGTGTATTGTTGAGAAACATTAAGTTTACCCTCCCCCAATGAAGTTACTTTTAGTTTGTTATTAGTGGTAGGTGCGTAATAACTGCCTACCTGGTATATTCCTGAGTTACGTGAATATGTAAAACACCTGTGTATTAATAAGAATCACCTGTCAAAGAGCAAAAGAGTGAATGAAGCTTTGCTCAGGGCCTTCAGTCCTGGAAAGCTGTCAGCCCCATAGACTGTCAGGCTGTTGGTCCCCAGGATAGGTCCATTTTGTTGTGTTATCTGAGTGTCTGCCTCTCAAATACCTTCAGCCTGCCTGGGTGGGGGTCTCCAGACCGAGCTTGTTCTCGGTAGTGTATGACTTCAGTCATAAAGACTTGGTGGCTTCTGCCTTGCTCTCCTGAGTTGCTCACTCTGGAGTAAGCCAGCTGTTGTGTCATGAGGACACTCAAGCAGCCTGTGGAGAGGCACTGAGGACTGCCAGTACCCAGCAGAAATGGGCAGGTATGTGAGTGATTCACCTTGGAAATAGACCCCCAGCCCAGACAAGCCTTCAGATGACCGCATCCCTTCACATCTTGTCTGTAACTTCAGAGACACCCTAGCAGACCTGAATTCCTGACCCACAAAGATTGTGTGGGATTAAGTCACTAAAATTGGGAGTCATTTTTACATAGCAATAGATAATGCAATACATTTTTACCTGAAATGTAAACAGGTAAAATCTGTTATGATGTGTTCCATAACAGAGTTGAGGTCATATTCTGTGATTCAGTCATTTCAGCTGAACTATTGACAAGTTTATCTTAATAAGGTGAAATCCCCAGCTGTTAAAGATGTGTAACAGTAGCCTCTCCACTTAAGTAGTACAGTTTAACCTGCCACAGTTCGAGGCCTTAACATGTTCCAAGAAGAGCAATGTCATTTTGGCTTTAAGATGATGTATCTTGTTTTTTTCCTGATAGAAAAGAATAATGTGCTTTTTATTCTCCTAGAGATTTGGTGTCTGTGAATAGTTGTAGCTATAACTGTGACATTTACCATACATTTCTCAGCTTCCACCCACCAATTTGCTCAGAAAAAAAGGTATGCTACAAATTGCAGCGATAGAGCATTTTAAAAAGGTAATTTTCAGCATGTTAGCACCTGAAAGGGAAAGTTTTATCTGCTTAAACAAGCCAAAAGCAAAGACAAAGACTGCACGTTGTTCTTACAGATGACTTAAATCATCTCTTTGATGGTGAAAATATTTTTAAGACCTGAAAGTTATGAGATATTCTGGGTAAGCCTGATTATCAAAGAATACCACAAATAGCCTTGGATATAGTGTATCATCTGTCACTGAGTCAAAGAGATCTGTGGCACTGTGAGGATTCTTGGGTGGAGGGGCAACTAATTCTGCATGTCCCTGTGTGTAGACTCCAGTAAGTACTCGCACAACGTACATGTGCTTTCTCCCATTGCTGTCTGGCCTGGAGTAGGTGTCCTTGGCAGAATAACTGGCATCCACAGCAAAATAGGTTCCTTTTCCATAGGCTACAGCTGGAAAGAGAAAGACCAAAATCTTCCTAAGAATGTAAAATTACACAATACGTAGAATCAGGCCCAATCCAACAAAATTGTTTTCTAAATGCAGTTCTAGCCAGGTGTGTTGGCTCATGCCTGTAATCCCAAAACTTTGGGAGGCTGAGGCAAGAGGACTGCTTAAGGCCAGGAGTTCAATACCAGCCTGGCCAACATTATGAGACCGCCCCCCACCACCTACAAAAATAAAACGAAATTATTAGCTGGGCACAGTGGTACATGCCTGTAATCCCAGCTACTCAGGGGACTGAGCGGGGGGATCATTTGAGCTCAATAGATCAAGGCTGCAGTGAGCCATGATCTAGCTGCTGCACTCCAGTCTGGGTGACAGAGTGAGACTGTCTTTTAAAAAATACCTGCCCATTAAAGTTACTTTTCATCATTTCTAAAATTCACTCCATCGTCCCTCAGAAGATTGCCAATCTCCTTTAAGGTAAAACACAGCGAGCTCTATTCTGACAATGATAATATGGCTGCCATCCATGGCTTCACGCTGCTTGGGTATGAAAAGTCTGGAATTATTGTTTACCTCCTTCTGAGCAGCCAGATTACTCGCTTCCTTACCATTCTTCCCAGCATAACTTCGATTAAAGCCGTGCTGATTGACATGTGGCACTGAGTCTGCATCTGTCCCATGGAAGAGTAGTCTCTCATTATTTGTATGGCCATTCTTGATATCCATGTGCTTTTTCTTTACCTGGTAGCTCTGCCAAAGAAACGCATTCTGTATCCTCTCAATCTGCAGATGACAAAAGGCAAAATATTTCAGAAATGACCTTGGGGCTCAGTATGTTGTATTTGTTGTGGACTTAAAATAAGCAATATGAAAAAGAAGGAAGAGGAGTTGGTGAAGGAAAAGGAGAAGAAAATACAAATAGAGAGCAAATTCAGAGAGCAGGCAGCTTTCTGCCTTTAGAGAAAGATGAGCTAAAAGTATCTATTAGTATCTATGCTTTGTAATAGTGCTTGTTAGTATATATTTTAAATAACAGAATATAGTTTATATCAAAATGATTACCAGTATATTCCCTGGAATTCCTGGAGATTCACTGACATTCAAACACCTACTCAAAAATTTGTACTCATTTAGTAGCCATTTCCTGAACTCCTTCTCATCTTCCAACCTATTCCATGTGGCGTCTCATAACAATTCTGTTATTGCTCCAATTACGGTCACAAATCACCTCATAATTGCCTAATCTTATGACTATTTTTTCTAGACTTCTGAATAGCATGTCAAACCATGAGCCATCCTCTTCTTAAAACTGTTCTTCTTTCACTTCTTTTCAAAATATCACTCTCTACTGGTTCTCCTTCCTCCTAGGAAATGGAGTTAGCATCCATTCAGCCATCATCTACTGAACATCATTATGAATTAAGTTTGTGTTGGGTCACTGCCTTCATGAAACATTCAGTCTAATGGGGTGGGGGAAAGACAAGAAAACTAATCACTACCCCACAGACTGATAAGGGATGGTCAGGAGAACACACACGGAGCTATGAAAGTATAATAAAGGGCTCCAGCTAACCTGTGTCTGGGGAAGGAGGAGGAAATCTGAGAGAATGATGTTCTGAAAACAGAGGGAGAAGAGAGGTTGAAGAAGAATGGAGTGGGTACCTGGGCAGCTGTTGAGGAGCCAAGCCATAATAGCAGGAGGGAAAGTTGTTCTGCTCAAAGTAGTGGAGGTCTCCAGGAGAGTAATGAAGGTTTGCAATGGGGAATGTGTGAGGGGGTTGACTGGAGGAAGCAATGAAGGATTCCAGGCAGCCTGGACGGTTCAGCTGAGGCTGGGGACCATGTATTAGTAAGGATTTCATCTAGAAGCAGTGGGAGAGAAGGTAAGTTACGGGATTAATCCAATGTTGGATTAATTTTCAAAAGAAGTATGAGCCAAGAAAGCAGCAGATGTTGGGGAAACACAATTGGAATAGGGTTCTTGCACTTCTTGTACAGTCATCCCTCAATATCCATGGAGGATTGGTTCCAGAACCCCCACAGATACCAAAATCTGAGGATGCTCAAGTTCCTGATATAAAATGACATAGTACTGTATTTGTATTAATATATAATCTACACAATCCTCCCATATACTTTCAATCATCTCTAGATTTCTTATATTACCCCATACAATGTATTAATAAATGCTATGTAAATAGTTGTTATATTGTTTAGGGAATAATGACAAGAAGAAAGTCTGTACACATTCCGTATACTCAACCATCATAGGCCTCACCACACTTTCCATCCGAGGTTGGCTGAAATCATGGATGCAGAACCTATAGAATCAGAGGCCTGGGACTGTACTCCCAACAGCTTTTAACACCACGAGGCATCGCCTCCTTTAAATTCTGTCTTTTATGTAGGATGTCTCTATCTTCTGGTTTCCCCTTCTCAGGAATTAAGCTCATTCATTCATTCAAGTTTACTCAATACATATTGTGTCCTACTATGTGCTAGACAGCTTCCTAGGTACTGAGAATGAAGAAATGAACAAGATGTGACTCCTACCTTAAGCAGCTCACTGTCTAGTCCGGGAGCCAGGCATGTGAAATGTTATCAAAGTACCTTATAAGTGCTGTAATGTAACTATATACTTACAAAGCACCATTTTACAAGTGCTCCAAGAGGTAAGTACACAGCTCTATGGAAGAGGTCACAAGATTTCAAATTACTAGGATGTCACACCCTGCTCTGATATACAAGTATAGTGATCTACTGACAAACCCTTATACTTTACTGACTAATAGTTTTATGCAGCATAGTGGGCATTGTGGTAATCTTCTAAACATGCATTCCACCCCATTAGCAACTTCTGATTTGAGTGGGATTGGCCCTACTTATAGTTCTAGGGTGGAGTCTAATTGAGTTAAACCAATCAGGATTTCAAAATGAATCACACATTGATGGGATCTGATAGCTCAGGCCCAAGCCAACCAGAACAAGGTATTCCCTAGACACAGAGATGGTAGCAGTGGTTGGGATTCTCATCCACTAACTGTGGAACAGGACACAGTTGTCTTCTATGGGTTGTGAATGAGAAAGCAGAGACACCCTAATTGCTGCCAGCAGTTACCCAACAACCACAAGGAGAGTCCAGCCTTAAGAAAAGCTGACACTGAGGACAGCAAAGCTGGAGAGACTGGATCCAGCACACCATCAAGCCGCTGGATCAGACTTCTCCAAAGCCCATCCTACTTCAGGACTTTCCATTAATTTCCAACACAATTCTCCTTGTTTAATCAGTTTGAGTAGGTTGGTTTGTGACTTGCAACTGAAAGCATCCTAACATAAACATGTGACTTGGAATCTCCTTCATTACCGCTAAGGAATAAACCATGAGATTTCACGTCGATGGAGCTTGAGTAAGTCTAATTCCAGTTAAAATAAACATAGGAAGTAAAGTAAAGGAAGGAAGGGTGTTATTTAAAAAAACAGCTTTTATGTTAATTCGCCAACGTATTTAAACAGTAAATTTTAACACAGCATTACCTTCTCTATTGTGTAGGAAGAACAAGTTTGGGTGAACTTGTCCTTTATGGTATTATATTCTGATTGTCCTGGGTGTAGCTGGACCATGCAAGATAGCTGATGATTCATGTCAGTCCAGTGTTCAGGAAGATTATCTGGAAAGTCAGCATTTGGTCAAAACACAACATTCATTTCCAAAGACCTCTGAAAATCAGGGCACCTCCTATGCTCTTGTCTCTCGTCATCCAACTGTGATCTTTAAAGTAGAAGCTACACATCTCATGGTTGCTTCTTTTATTATCCTCAATTGAGTAAACCCAGATGAAGTGAACAGTCTGACACCAATGTGACACACAATATATTCATTAGTGCTCTAGCTAAAATATTTAGATAAACTTAGATCCACTATAGCTTGAAATTGTAATTTTCCCAGAGAGTTCTGTAGAATTAATTTTGTAAGAAACTGATATGGAAACATGAATGTCAATTTATGGATGCTTTTGCTTTTATTAGTATTATTTAATGTAGTTCTCTTCTATTTTTTTGAAACATGATTACTCTGCTAAAGATATTTAAAGCACATTGTTCTGTACCCCATTTTATACAACAAGCAGAGAAAGCACCATGTAAAGAACATAGCAGATGTGCTAAGAGAATGCTTTCCCATCAGGTGATCATTCTGGTTTCCTTTGCTTTTCAGTGGTTTCCTGGAACTTCTAAAACGCCCAAGCTAGATGTCAACTTGCTAAGATAGCAGAACCAGTATGAATATGGACACATTGCATTAGAGAAGTAAAAGCCCACAAAATGACACAACTCCACAGGTAAAAACCAAAGGATTTTTTCCTTACAAACAAAGCCACAGTTTACTCATTTTTAGTGAAAGATCTACCTGGCCTGAGGGAGGGATCCAGGGCACCATCTTCCTGTTAAGCAAGTCCATCCAGGGTAAGTTCTGGTGACATAGGGAGGCATCTAACCCTAATCAGTAAGCTCTTTTCAAAAGTTGTTCTGGCAAACTTTCCCACCAATAAGGGTGCGTGTTCTGAAAGCTACGTTTTTTCCTTTCCCCGACACTGTCCATCTCCTTCAGGATCTTTCTGCCTAATCATTTCTAGTCGGACGCCTTACGGTCCTTTTGGATCTGCCGCTTCCTTTCCTCTGAATACAGCAGGCAAGGCTCCAAAATAAGGAAGTGAAGGTTTTTAGGGGGTCTTCTATTCCTTTCATGCCCTGAGGTTGGAGAGCAGGAAGCTATCAGGACTTGGAATCAGAAGACCAGATCAGCCTCAGCCTGTGACCAGCCATATGACATTGAACACATAACACCACTTCTGGGTGAGTGTTTAGTTTTTAATCTGTGTAATGGGAATTATAAGATCAGCTCTATCTACCACCTCACGGGATTGTTGCAAAGTTAAAATATAATGAGTCTGAAAATGCTTTAGGGAATGCCAAGTCCTTTGTAAACATAGGGTTATTCTTAACCAATTAAGCTTGATATTTTTTACATCTCAGAGGTATTTGTATATTATTATTATTATACATTTACCCAGTCTGGAATGCAGTGGCATGATCATGGCTCACTGCAGCCCTGACCTCCTGGGCTCAGGCAATCCTCCCACCCCAGCCTCCTCAGTAGCTGGGACTACAGGCACATGCCACCATGCCTGGCCGATTTTTTTTAGAGATGGAGTTCTGTCATGTTGCCCACGCTGGTCTCGAACTCCTGGGCTCAAGCAATCTTCCTGCCTTGGCTTGCCAAAGTGCTGGGATTATAGGCATATGCCACAGCACCCAGCTGGTATTTGTATATTAATAGAATAAAGAATAAAGCCAAAGGTCTTTTCTCGAGAGGAAAGACATTTAAATCACACCCTTAAGCTACACCAAACATTGCTATCTACTCTGTTGTCTATGTACAAAGGATAACCCTGGCTAGAAAATTTAGAGGAGAGAAAACGGAGTCCCAGGAATACTCACCCAGCATCACATGGAAGGTCATAAACTAAGGAGCACTGTTGACTTGCAGCCCAGGGCTTCACAGAAAATAGCATGATAATTACCCTTTTAAATGTTTCCATGTGCTAAGCATTTTCCTGAGCCCTATTCTTATACAGCTTTTAGAAAAGATGAGCGTTTTTTAAAACAGGGGTCCCCAAGTCCCAGGCCACAGACTGGCACCAGTCTGTCACCTGTCAGGAAGCAGTCTGCACAGCAGGAGGTGAGCGTTGGGCAAGGGAGCAAAGCTTCATCTGTATTAACAGCTGCTCCCCATCATTCTCACTACCATCTGAGCTCACTGTCTGTCAGATCAGCAGCAGCATTCGATTCTCATAGGAGCTCAAACCCTATTGCGTACTGTGCATACAAGGGACCTAGGCTATGCACTCCTAATGAGAATCTAATGCTTGATAATCTGTCACTGTCTCCCATCAGCCAAGATGGGACCTTCTAGCTGCAGGAAAACAAGCTCAGAGCTCCCACCAATTCTACATTGTGGTAAGTTGTATAATTATTTCATGATATATTACAATATAATAATAAAAATAAGGTGGGCAATAAATATAATGCACTTGGATCATCCTGAAACCATCCCCCATCACAACACAGTCCGTGGAAAACTTGTCTTACATAAAACTGGTCCCTGGTGCTCAAAAGGTTGGGGACTACTGTTTTAAAAGATAAGCTCTACTTTCAAATTCCTGGTGGTTCAGGATAAATACCCTCACCTGTGGGGATGGGTTTTTTTAAAAACCAAGATCCCGGCCGGGCCCGTTGGCTTTCTCCTGTAATCCCAGCACTTTGGGAGGCCAAGGAGGGAATATCATTTGAGGTCAGGAATTCGAGACCAGCCTTGCCAACATGGTGAAACCCTGTCTCTACTAAAAATACAAAAATTAGCCGGGCATGGTGGCTCACATGTGTAATTCCAGCTACTCAGGAGGCTGAGGCAAGAGAATTGCTTGAACCTGGGAGGCGGAGGTTGCAGCAAGCCAAAATTGTGCCACCGCACTCCAGCCTGGGTGACAGAGCGAGATTCAGTCTCTAAATAAATAAATAAGACCCCTGGCTCTGCCCCCTGTCTTTCTCGCTTCACTGTTTATTCTCCTGGATAAGCCAATCACACTTAAGGGCTTCAATCCCATCTACTCACATGACTTCCCAAATCTCTCTAGTGTCTGATACACAGGTGGTGCTCAATAAATAATCTGCCACAATAAACAGCTTTAACATACATTTGAAAAGTAATTATGTATTATCTGCACAAATGAAACCCAAAGCTATCCTCTTTAAGTTCTTTTTGAAAAGCGGCTGTATGATAAATTCTTACTAAAATTCCAGTTTATCTGAGCCAACAAACTTCCTTTTATCTGATATTTCATCTGTATTATTCCTTTTCTCTAACAACAAAGATGACGTAGTGCAGTTTGATTGTGGTCTGTTTTCACTTCAGGTGCCAGAAGTTCAGGCTGAAACCAGTCTTTCCCTGCACTGACACCCCTGCTGTCTCAAAGGGTCAGTTGTATGCTCATTTTAGTCAGTTTGCTTCTCTCTTCAACTTCACTGTTTTGTTTTTTAAATTTGTAAGTCAGTTTAAAATATTAATGAAAGCAAGGAGTGATAAAAAACAGTTAAACTTTATTTTTTGCTTTACTGATAATGACTTATTTAGTGTTCTTAAATTTAATAAAAATTTTCTTCTACCAGGACAAAAGGGAAAAAAATGTTAGTTTATATACCCCTAGATACTATAGTAGGTACATACTATTTTTAACTTCCCAATATCCTTTTCTCATTTTCTGGTAAAAGCCTTCTGAATTTTCTTCAGGGAGCAGCTATTCCCCATTGCTTCGGATGGTGATTCCCTCTAGCTCAAGTATGCAGCATGTGACTCTGGCTCGGCCAATCAGTGTAATTATGGTTCCCTGCCTGCAATTGTCCAATCAGAAAGACTCTCAGGGCTTAAAAGACTCTCAGGGCTCTGTTCCCTGGCATTATTTCCTGATGGTAAGTGTGTATCTCCACTGGATACACTCTTTCCTCTTGAAACTGACTGTGGAAGGATGGGGGCCTAAAGCTGCTAGCATCCATCTTTTACCATATGAAGACTGAGGGAAAAGACAACACAGGTAAGAAGAGAATAAGAGATGAAGAAATTCAGGGTCTAGATGATATTATTATATGAGCACTTGGATCAAACTGTACCTGAAGCCAGGAATGCATGGGCTTTATAATAACATGGGTCAGGGAATTCTGTTTTTTGCTTAAGCCAGTGTAAGGTGGATTTTCTATTATTTGCTACTGCAAGAACCTTAACAGATCCAACTATTATTTTCATATTTTTATTATATGTGTGTCTCCTACATGTATTGTATGTTGTACTACACTGAGGCGAATACTTGTCAGGAAATAAATGTAGAGAGAACTGACATTCCTCCTGACAGCAGCAGACAACAATCCTCGGTTTAAGAAGGCTGCTGATGGCAGGTGTGCCTTATCACTAGCAAAACTCAGTGCTTTAAGGGTGAGTGCTCCAAATGGGTGAAAATAGTGATTGCAAGAGGAGACTGCAATCCTAGTTATTTTAATAGCAGTACAAACGCCACAAAATAGGGGAAAACTAAATCAGAGGAACATGTCAGTACAAATACTTAAAGTATAAACACACCTTACGGAGTAGCAACTGGGGATCTGTCTGGCTGCTTATGCTATAGTACAACCAGCTGACCCGAGCCACTCCCTTCTGACACCTGATTCTATTCCAGGCCAACCTGTCTATAGGTGGATGATTAATAGACCAGTATTAATCAGCTAGTTCACAGCTACAAGAAGCACCAAGGGTTAGTACCAACCAATCAATAAATATAAGACTAATGTGGGAAAGGGGAGAAGAAATTAAAGTTTTCTTCTAAGTAAACCTCCCTGAGTCCTTCCCCCTCCCATGGGATTGTATCCTACTTTTCAAGTTTTATACGTTGATAAATTCTTGTATTCTTGTTCTCTATAGCAGATAACTGTAAGTTTTTGTAATACAGTGAAGGTCATAAGAAATGCCCAAGCAGGCAGGACTCCAGCTTTCTGGACACTGTAGCAGAAGGCAACAGATAAGGCCCATGCTAGAATCCTTGAGCTCTACAGATAGGGAACATCTGGGTTACATAGTAACAGTCCTGTGTAAGCCTAATTAGGTGCCTATCATTGTTTAATGAATTGCCTTTTTTTCTACACCTGCAAACTTGTTTTTAGCACCACTGTGTACTTCATGTATAAAAAGTCGAGCCCTGTCTTTGTTAGGCCCTCAGCCTTGGGATGCTAATCTGCTGATCTGGTGGCCACCTTAATAAAATTCTTCTGTTTCTCCCATTGGTCTCTGCGGTCTCCTGAATATTCTGCAACAAGACCACTGGCTAAAATTTGCAAAGCCTCCTCCCCTCTGATTCCTCACTTGCATTCTCTTCCTGTTCATTTGCTATTCCTGTTCCCAGGCATGATTTTGCCTCTCAGGAAAATAGTTAATTGACAGGAGGTTGCATTCCCTAATTTTTATACTTTTCCCATGAATCATAAGAACTTGTCTGAAAAGTCCTAAAATGAATAGAAAACTATAAACCCAGTGTAATTCATACATAAACATTTTCTAAGTGATTGTCAGAGCCAGCTAGGTGATTTTAAAAAACTGAACATCTTACATGTAGTTGTGGAGAATGTGGATTGAAAGGTCGGTGATGCGGTGATGTCTCTTTTTCTCATGCTGTCATAGAATATATTTAGCAGCTCAGGTAGAAAGAGGACAACTTTAACAGTTTTTAATGATGGGGTGGAATGTTTCCTTGAGAAGTCTACAATAGCATCAATTATGTTATCAGCAACTGTGATTGGGTTTTTTCTGGCATTTCCTGAAAAAAAAAATTAATGACAAAAAGAAGTTTCAGCCAGTGTTGGTAATACGATGAAATTGGGCAAATGCAATTCTCAGTGCTGAGAAACAGGAAAGCCCCTGACAGCCAGGAACTGACAGGACACTCACAGCTAGTAGGTGTTCTTTGGCTGAATACAAACAATTTCACAGTACATCATTGATGTAACCACTCTGTGACCATGATGAATTAACACAAAAACAAGACTAGTCCATAATTATGTCTTATCACAGACAAAAACATGAACCCTGTCCAAATCACAGAGATGGCCAAACGTTCCCCTGTCTTGACTAATAAGAGTGACAGCTGCTGCATTACCAATCATACATTTAGCCAGAATGCATCCTCCCTTCTTCTAGATAAGATATCCAATCATAGAATTACGTCTGTTTCCTGGAAGTCACTGATATAGAGAAAAGCCCCACTTAGTTTAGACTGCTACAAAATCACCTAAAGCCCAGGACCATTAAGTCCTTTCTAACATTCTCCTACTGAGATGCTGCAGAGCTCCCCATAGTGTGTGTTCCTGGTGATCTTTAGCTGATGGGCATTGGCAGTGCAGAGATAAGAACATGTGATCTGGATGCAGAAGAGCTGAGTTTATGTCCTGGCTCCACTATTTACTAGTTGTTTGATCTTAAGTAAGTTGATCCCTCTTGAAGTTAGCTAGGGCTGCAGTACAAAAAGCCATGGACTGGTGGCTTAAGCAAGAGAAGTAGAGGCTAGAAGACTGAGGTCAAGGTATCAGCATGGTTGACTTGTAGATGGGTATCCTCTGTGTCTTTTACGTGTTCTTCGGTCCATACCTGGCAGTGTCCTAATCTCCTCTTTTTATAAGGACACTAGTCATATTGGATTAGGGCCCACTTTAATGGCCTCATTTTAACTTAATTACCTCTTTAAAGATTCTACCTTCAGACTGGGATCACATCTGTAATCCCAGCACTTTGGGAGGCCAAAGGCGGGCAGATCACTTGAGGTCAGGAGTTTGAGGCCAGACTGTCCAACGAAACCCCTGTCTCTTCTAAAAATACAAAAATTAGCTGGACGTAGTGACTGGCCCCTGTAATCCTAACTACTCAGGAGGCAGGAGAATCATTTGAACCTGGGAGATGGAGGTTGCAGTGAGCCAAGATGGCACCATTGCACTCCAGCCTGGGTGACAGAGTGAGACTCTGCCTTAAAAAAAGACCTTATCTCTAAATCTGAGGTACCAGCGTTAGGACTTCAACATAGGAATTTTGGAGAGACACTCTCAACCTATAGCACCTCTACACTTCAGTTTGCTCAGCTTGAAATTGGCGGTAATAATAGAAGGTAATGGGTAATAGAGATAAGACTATGGTAGCTAAGAATAGGGTAATTAAGAATATAGGCCGGGCGCGGTGGCTCAAGCCTGTAATCCCAGCACTTTGGGAGGCCGAGGCTGGTGGATCACGAGGTCAGGAGATCGAGACCATCCTGGTCAACATGGTGAAACCCCGTCTCTACTAAAAATACAGAAAAAATTAGCTGGGCATGGTGGTGCGTGCCTGTAATCCCAGCTGCTCAGGAGGCTGAGGCAGGAGAATTGCCTGAACGCAGGAGGCAGAGGTTGCGGTGAGCCGAGATCACGCCATTGCGCTCCAGCCTGGGTAACATAAGTGAAACTCCGTCTCAAAAAAAAAAAAAAAAAAAAAAAGAATATAATGGTAGAAACCCATGTAATAAAGAAGTAATGGTAAAAATTGTGCAGGATTTGGGACCAGGCTGTGTGGGTTAGAATCTAGCTCTGTTGCTTACTAGCTGACCTTGTGCCTTAATACTTCAAGTTCATCTACAAAATGGGGACACAGTATGGGATCGACCCAGGTTTTGAATTTATATCTCAGAAAAAGAATATACAATTATGTATAACAGTGAATATTTAAAATTAGAAATCACAACAAAGTATATCTTTTAAAATGCTGAAAATTATATTCCTAAGGCAACTTTCCTTAGCTATATCACATAAATGTTTATAGCCACCCCAACATCACCCAGTGCAAGGGGAAGTATGAGATGTCAAAGTGGGGAAAAACAGTGGTCTTAATCCATGAGGGCTGAATATCCTACTTTTGAAATTTACCAAATAACAAGGTGAAGACATTATTAGGGCTCCTCTCAGGGTCTTTTAAAAAGCCTGTGCAAGTAAAGTTCAATCACTTAAGCTTCATTATCTTCACAATAAATTTGTCTTTGCTAATAGTAACCATGTCGTAAGTATGAAGACAAACCTCCCAGTTTCTCTGGGGCAGAGAGGTTGCCTGCAACATGAGACTTACAGTGTTAAAACCAGGAAAGTCCTGGGCAAACTAGAAAGAATTGATCACCCTATATAAGGTTACTATGACAAATACATGAACTTTTACATGTAAAACACCTAGAACATGTAAGCACCCAATAAATTTTAGCAATTCTTAACATTACTACTACAACTCATGGAGCTATTCCAGCTACTTCATGGGAGTTTAGTGGTACTCAAAATAGATTGCATCTGGGAAACATTTCTTTTTCTTTCTTTCTTTCTTTTTATCCTTTTTTTTTTTTTTAAGACAGAGTCTCACTCTGTTGCCCAGGCTACAGTGCAGTGGTGTGATCTCAGCTCATTGCAACCTCTACTTCCTGGGCTCAAACTATTCTCGCATCTCAGCCTCCTGAGTAGCTGGGACTACAGGTACCTGCCATCACGCCTGGCTAACTTTTTATTTTTAGTAGAGATGGGGTTTCACCATGTTGGCCAGGCTGGTCTCAAACTCAGTACCTCAAGTGATCCAACCGCCTCAGCCTCCCAAAGTGCTGGGACTACAGGTGTGAGCCACCACGCCCAGCCTGAGAAACACTTCAAAAGTGTCCGTTGAAATCAATGGGGAAGAGAACATCCATGAGCACCTCTGGAGACATCAACAAATCAACTGTTATTCATTCCTCCATTCAACAAAATTTAATGGGCAGTGATTCTTCATTCAACATGGGGCAGAGAAGACATAAAGATCTGGTCCTTCCCTTTAGAAGGAACAGATTTGGAAACGAAAAGAAAGGCTGAAACTCAGCAATTCTCTGGAAGAAGATTCAGCAGGACTTGCTGACTTTGGGGGTCTCTGACACAACAAAGCAAGGATGGCAGGCCAGGGCAGCTGGAAGCGTCATGGCATCACTGAAGGAGGAAACGAGAAAGCCTGGGAGCTCAAGAGGAGTTTATGTTTTCAAGGGAGGGTCATAAGCTTCGATTCTGATGTAATGAAGTTTCCGGTAACAGAAAACTTAACCAGAGGAAATCCTGGAGAGAATGAGCATTTGACAATGTATTCACAGTCGAAGAGGCATGGCACAAGCATTTCATGGCCTCCCACTTCCTCCTCTGGGGCTTTGCACTTACTCTCCTCCAATACTATGATTATTGGTTGGTTCTTCCGCTGACTTTTCTGCCCTTTCCCCACCACAATCTATCTGTGGGCATTTTTCACTGTTCTGGTCTTGGCCCTCTTCTCTTTCTCGAAGCAGTCCCTTGGCAGGCTCATTCCACCTACCCAGTTGCAACCCTTCCCACTATGTGGCTGATCAAACCTACACCTGTGGCCTCTGCCTTGGGTGTCATTCTTGATTACTATGTCTTGCATCTGCTCCAAAATCATGAACTCCTGTAAGGGCCAGGGCTTACTCCACTCTGTTGGCCCAGTACCAAGTAGCAGAGTGCTTGCCCTGGGTGATGGGAACAAAACAGTTTGGGTTTGAGAGCTGTAATTTGCCAGATGGTGTGAGAGATGCTCCAGATGGGGAGAAGTGCATGAACAAAAGGAACAAAAAGTGATAACAAAATGGTTGTAACATATTCCTCCTGGCTTCCCTATTGCCACCGATAGCAAAAGGTTATAACAAAAGGTTATTGGTGGTAATAAAGGCGGTGGGGAAGCCAGAAAGAATGTACTGCAAACATTGTAGGGTGGCCGTGGGGCTCATATAAGAGGGGTCTGGGATACCTGCAGGAGCATTCTGTTTTAATCTAGAAAGAAGAAGGAAGTCTACAGAGTTGAGCTAAAATGATGGTGGAGGCTCTAAGACAGGAATTTAATTGCTGAAAAACTCTTAGATTAACGGTAACCTGTGGCTGCACACTACTAATACTTCCCAAGTAAGAAGCCCTCACCTCCATGAGAGTGACAGGGGACATGGATGTGAATGAATCAGGAAGTGAGTGACCAGTTGCACTGTTAACTAAGAAGAACAAATGATTGGATGATATGATAGAGATGAGGAAAGCGTTCCTACAAACTGTGAGCAGGACAAACCTGAGCTTGTTGCTCACAGGGAGTGACTGCACCTTACTCATGATTTTCTCCCCAGTGCCTTGCACAAGCTTGGGTAACAGCATTTCAGTTCAATGAATGCACAAATGAGGAGCCAGCTGGGAGACACTGAAGTAAACCAGATGGGGGAGGTCTGAAAGTTTTGGAAACGAAAAGAAAGGCTGAAACTCAACAATTCTCTGGAAGAAGATTCAGCAGGACTTGCTGACTTTAGGGGTCTGTGACACAACAAAGCAAGGATGGCAGGCCAGGGCAGCTGGGAGCATCATGGCATCACTGAAGGAGGAAACGAGAAAGCCTGAGAGGTCAAGAGGAGTTTCTGTTTTCAAGGGAGGATCATAAGCTTCGATTCTGATGTAATGAAGTTTCCGGTAACAGAAAACTTAACCAGAGGAAATCCTGGAGAGAATGAGAAATGCTGATTTACAGAAAGCAAATGAACCACCCAAGGGGAAAAAACAAAGTGAGAAAACTATGAAGTTAAGGACCAAACTTGGAAAAATACTCAGGGAACATAAAGAAGAAAGGGCCGGACACAGTGGCTCATGCCTGTAATCTCAGCACTTAGGGAGGCGGAGGCAGGAGGATCGTTTGAGCCTAGGAGTTTGAGACCAGCCTAAGCAACATGAGGAAACCTGTCTCTATAAAAAATACAAATATTCGCCAGGCATGGTGGTGCACACCTGTGGTCCTAGCTACTTGGGAGGCTGAAGTGGGAGGATCTCATGAGCCTGGGAGGAAGTGGTTGTAGTGAGCTGTGATCGCGCCACTGTACCCCAGCCTAGGCAACAGAGTGAGACTTTGTCTTGAAACAATAAAGACAGAAAGAAGAAAGATGGAAGAAAGAGGCTTGGGCCTAGTAGCTGGTGGTGCCCTCTGGATCTAAAAGGTGGCCCCCTCTCTGATGTGTATCGTTGTTGCCGCCTTCAAATGGACTCAGCATTGATCTGCTTAGGAGTGAGACTAAATCTAAGGGAATTTGTACCACTCAGATTTTATTATAGAATGATAAGCTTCAAACCTGTTCCAATGGCTGGAAGGGAAACTGAGGTGTACTTCCTCTGTTCACACTCTTCTAGAACACTGGTGACCGTTCTCCTGACATCATTTTCCCCAAGAACATGAATTATTATTTCGCATGTTAAGCCTCCACCTTGTGTAATTATAAAATCTCCGTGAGGCTGTGCCGCTGGAAAAAAGGGAAGAAAAACAAACATGCAGCCTGTTAGTTACTGGAGGGAACACTTGGGTTTTGAGAAATGAAAATAGCTGACACCAATGAAGACTATGAAGCCCAGCCTCCCTCAAGCCTATTGGTTTCATTTACTGGACTGTGACAGCCTCATTTTCTTTACAATCAGAATTCTCGAACTCAACAAATACACTGTTGAGTATTTTGGGTGCTATTGAAAAGCACTTTATCTGCATTAATCTGCTCAATCCTCAAAGCAAGCCCATGACGCAGGTACTGTTTTCCCCATTACACACATGACATAGCGACAGAGAGAGGCAAGGTCAGTAGCCAAAGATTGCCTAGGACTTGAACGCAAGCAGCCAGTCTCCAGAGCTCTTAACCCCAACTTTGCTGTCCCAGAAGGGCAATTTATATGCTCATTTAGCCACATTAATTTTTGAAGGAGGTAAAAGCAACGTACTCTGTAGCATGGAGGTGTGAAAGGATGAAAACTTCTCACTCAGGACCCTAGAGCTCTTGAGCACATGGAAATTACCAAGGCCATTTTAAGGCCGTGCTTCTTTGGTTCAGACTGCTCTGAGTAAGGCTGGGGCCAGCAAAAGGGAGGAGGGGGAGAGTGGATCCCTGCCCATCCCACCCAGCCCTCCGGAGGAGCACCTGTGCCCAGGCACTGTCTAGGGCCCGTTGGGTGTCCCTCCCACCCTCCCCTCCCAGGCAGCCTCCTCAGGGTTTTTCAGCTTGTCCAGTCTACCTTCATCCTCTGCTCCTGCCATCTAGGCACAGCTAGCTCTCCCAGTGCTCAAACCCCTGCTAACGTCCTCATGTTAGTGATCAAGTATCATCATCCTCTGCTTTCACTCCAGAAATTTATTCACTCCAGGGAAATTTCTAAATCAGAGAGCTACTAAGATAGGAGTTTCAGGCACTGTAGCAGGTCAGTTTTGGGAATACATTGTCATGGTGCGCTATGACTTCTTCAAAGCACACTCATAGCTGACTGTCTACCCTACTCTGCAAGGGATATTTTGAAGGACAAATAGTTTATAACCTTAGGTTCCCCAGTCAAAGTCCACACTCATTCATAAAAGGATTAGAAGTTGGCTACATGTAGATGTGCTGGAAGTGGTAGAACAAGGTTGGGGAACATCTGTACAGCATTTTACAGTTTACAGAACTTTTCACATTAATTGTTCCTTCTGATCCTCAAAACCACCTGTGGCACAGCTTTCCCACACGACTTACTAGTAGAACTTTCCTACTGATGAGAGAAGCAAAGCTCTTAGCAGTTAGACGATGTGCCTAGGGTCACTCAGTAAATGGCAAAGCCTGGATTATTAGGACCCAGGCCTGGGTTCTTTTTACTACTCAGGAAGGAAGAGACAGATGAGATGGTGGAATAAAGAACCTCTCCCCTACAGCCTCCAAGTCCTTCCACCTGTGCCTGCTCTTCCAGCGAACCAGCCTTCTTGCAAAGCTTTGCCCACTACTTACTCCACCCCCAGTCCTCCTGTACGTCATCTCGTTGTAATCTTAGCCCTCTGATTTTCAAGTTTGTAGTGAAAAGTAACATGTGCCCATACCTAGCATAGCACATTCATTTTCCACAGCTGGTCCAGCACCTTCTAAAATAGCCTTTGACACACCTAAATAAGGCACATTAATGGTAAAAGGCATCAGTTAGAATTCAGTAAGTGGTTATAGCTTTCATACATTAGACTTCTGCTCAATTCAACCATTTGTGCACAATCCATTGACCATCCCCCATATCCGACCAGCTGTTCTTCCTATAGCAACCTCCACCCAGTGGCTGATGAACAAACAATCTGATCTCAGCACCATGGAAGTCCCCAGGAGCTGAAGGATTTACCTTCTCTATTTATACAGGAATCTTTTTGCAGTTATTTGAAATTTTTTGCATGCTACCCTTATTATTTTGTAAAAAATGAATGCAAATACAAAAATAAGATTTCTGGCTGGGCGCAGTGGTTCACGTCTGTAATCCCAGCACTTTGGGAGGCTGAGGCGGGCAGATCATGAGGTCAGGAGTTCAAAACCAGCCTGACTGACATGGTGAAACCCTGTCTCTACTAAAAATACAAAAATTAGCCAGGCATGATGCCGTGTGCCTATAATCCCAGCTACTTGAGAGGCTGAGGCAGGAGAATCACTTGAACCCAGGAGGCGGACGTTTCAGTGAGCTGAGATCACGCCATTGCACTCCAGCCTGGGTGACAGAGTGAGACTCTGTCTCAAAAAATAAAAATAAAAAATAAAAGTTCTGATACTAAGGAGAAGCATGAATCTCAAAACTGTAATGAAACTGAGCACTTTACTAAATTCTTTGATTCCCCCAGCCCCCATCAGTTAGGCAGCTGGTTTCAATTCAATGAATCTTCCAGTCAAAGTTGTAGCTTCACCACTTTGGTCAAGTCTAAAGACAGCTGTGTTAAGTAGTTAAAAACATAGACTTTACATTTTGACAAACTGGGTTGAAGTTGACTTCACTATCTACTAGCTAATATGTGACTAATAAGTTCTTCCTCATTACACAAAGGCTAATGTGGTACTTCCCTCACAGGGTTATTTGTACATTAAAAGAGATAAGGGATGAAAAAATGCTTAGCACATAACCTGGCATGCAGAAAATACTAAATGAATGTTAGTTGTTTTATCATTACAAAGATACCTATATCTCTTTATCCTTGATTATGAGTGCATTATGAAATGTCTCTTTTTAAAAAAATCTTTTTTCAATTTGTTTGTTCTGGTCTCTGTCTTTGCTGTGAAGATTTTCCTTGAAAGTCAAGTGATCTTCACCAGTCCATTCCTGTTTAAGAGTGAGCTTAGAAGCCCTATGTGAGAAGGCTTGTTGACCAGTGGGCTTCAGTGTAAGGCGAGCAGGCAGCTCCTACTGTCTGTTGTTCTGGGATCCATGCAGGGAGAGGGGCTGGACACTCACTGTTTGGTACAGAGATGTTCTCTTAAACAGTTTTCAGTCTAGCTCCTCATCTCACCTATGCCTGGTGCCTAAGTCCAAAACCCCTCTGGTTCTGTTTCTCTGGAGAATAAACCTCCCATCTCTGACCAGGGAAGAGAGAGAAAAGTTACTGTTGTATAGGACAGGGGATCCAATCACGTGGCCTAATTACTCCTGATCTGGAATTTCTTTCAACTGTGTTTTCATCTCTGTACTTGGCCCCTGCCTTCTCAGACACCAGCAGCCTCCAATTCCTGTGTCTCTGGGGCTACTGTTCTCACCTGCAGACACTAAATTTTCTCTACTCCATGGCAGCGACCACCCTTGGCTAGCAGCTCCCCATCATTTAAAAATTTCTTATCTTTTGTTCATAGTTGTTTTCCCTCCAACGTTCTTTTTCTTGTGTGTTTATATCCTTTTCATTCCTTTACAGTTGTATTAATGGAATTCCAAAAGGAGGCAGGGATGAATGCACAGGTTCAATTTAGCATGTTTCAAATAACTAAATGTTTTTTATATCTACATTTTAAATGACTGAAAAATGGAATGACCGATGAACTAAATGGATATTCTACAGATTCACTTCTGTGTAATATTTTTCAACTTAGAAAATATTTAAATTTTATTTATGTTTTATCTTACCCTTTTAATTTAAAAGTCAACGTTTTATAATATACAAAAGTTTAAGAGGGCCAGGCACAGTGGCTCACACCTGTAATTCCAGCGCTTTGGGAGGCCAAGGCAGGTGGATCACCCAAGGTCAGGAGTTCAAGACCAGCCTAGACAACATGGTGAAACCCCATCTCTACTTAAAAAAAAAAATTAGATGGTGGCACATGCCTGTAGTCCCACCTACATGGGAAGCTGAGGCATGAGAATCACTTGAACCCAGGAGGCAGAGGTTGCAGTGAGCTGAGATTGCACCACTGCACAACAGCCTGGGCAACAGAGTAAGACTCTGCCTCAAAAAAAAAAAAAAAAAAGGTTAAGAGTGTATGTGTATAAGTTATAAGGATAAATTAATAGACATATGTGGGGAGGGCATGCTCGAATGTGTTACCATAGTGGGAGTAGTCAAACATTTCAGGGAAAATAAAGAAAAAGGGTTGCGTTTCATTTCTGGGTCAGTATAATGTAGAGAAGAGAAGAGCTACAGGAGGTAACATGTGAATGCCAACTGGGTTGCATAAAAGGAAAATAAAAATGGAGGAACTTAGAGGTACTAAACCTTATATTTGGAAGTTTGACAATCCAGAGCTGATGCTAAATACAATGCTTCTGTTAAACTCCACCTTTACATCAGTTACACCCCATCTAATCCTTTCCTGGGAAAAAGGTGTTTGACGGGCAAAGAAACATGCTCAGAGAGGTTAAGTGACTTGTGCACAGCTACACATTGCTAAGTGGCATAGCTGGGATTCAACCCATGTCTTCCTGAGTCCAGGGACCACATATTTTCTACAACACTCTCTGTCTATTCAAGACAAATATTAGCCACAATTTCCCTTCCAGAAATTAGTCATACTAATAACTACAATGTATTGCTTAAAGTACCTGATTTCAGACTAAATGTCCTTGTTGTTGAGTTTACAATAACATCTACCTTTTCTTCAGTTATGTCTCCAGTAGCAACCTGAAAAGTAATTGCACCAATTTTCATTTCATATGCTGTGAACCAAGGATTAGAGACAGTCCCGAAGGTACCTGAAAAGAAAGAAAATGGGTAAAGAATGGGCTGCTGGCTCAGCTCCCAGAGGAAGAGCACACATTTTGCGGCCCTATTCTCTCCCAGCCCAACCCTCCTTCTTTTCCCCCAACATAAACCCAAATATTACCATGTCTCCTGGCCTCTTAAACAGCTAGGTTTTCTTTTTAAAGGAAATTAGAAAATTATGCTTTGTGACAGTAGGAATATCTACATTTTCTTTTTTTTTTTTTTTTTTTGGAGACGGAGTTTCACTCATGTTACCCAGGCTGGAGTGCAATGGCACGATCTCGGCTCACCGCAACCTCCGCCCCCCTGGGTTCAGGCAATTCTCCTACCTCAGCCTACTGAGTAGCTGGGATTACAGGCACGCACCACCATGCCCAGCTAATTTTTTTGTATTTTTAGTAGAGACGGGGTTTCACCATGTTGACCAGGATGGTCTCGATCTCTTGACCTCGTGATCCACCCGCCTCAGCCTCCCAAAGTGCTGGGATTACAGGCTTGAGCCACCGCGCCCGGCCGGAATATCTACATTTTCTGAGTTACATAGGATGAGGCAGAAATATCTGATTGCACCTCTCTGTCTACTGACAAAAGCTGCTGTGGTGTCAAGAGAGAGGAGTGAGAAAATAAGGGAGTGTGCCAAGGGCACTGTCATGTCTTGCAGACAACACTGCTAGGAGAGTCTTTTATTACCACAGGTGTAGCAATATAAAGGCCACTCCGAAATCCCAGCACCTTGGGAGGCTGAGATGGGGGGGATCACGTGAGGTCATGAGTTCGAGACCAGCCTGGCCAACATGGTGAAACCCTGTGTCTACTAAAAATACAGAAAAATTAGCTGGGTGTGGTGGTGTACACCTGTCATCCCGGCTACTCGAGGCTGAAGTAGGAGGATCATTTGAACCCAGGAGGCAGAGGTTGCAGTGAGCCGAGATCGTGCCATTACACTCCATCCTTGGTGACAGAGCTAGACTCCATCTCAAAAAAAAAAAAAAGAAAACGCTGCTCAGAGGAAGTTACCTTTATCCTTTTGGCATATTACTCTCCATCCCACACTCTGAGGCTTACAACTTAGATGTGCCACTTCAGCTCATCCATTAAACCCTTTAGATCTACCTTTAGACATTTATACAGTGGCAACAGAACCAACTGCCATGGGGCCACTGTACACATTAAATAATACACTATATATGAAAGCAATTAGTAAAGTATAGTGTGCCAGGCACAGGTTAGTTATTTTTTTATTACCATTTCTTAGAAACTCTGCTTTCGTTACCATTGATTTGGTTCATGTTACTATATGATTGCTTCTTCGTGTGACCAGACAATAGGACGTGTTCTAACACCTCCTCCAGCACAGATTTGTTGTTTATGTTCTTCCTGTGAATTAGCTTTGCCTCCTTCTAGTGGACTTCAACTACCACTGAAGAGTTGCTAAGCAAAAGGAATTACTTCCTTAGCAGAATGACTTTACCCGACCTTGGGTATCTCCAGCCATGGGAATCCTGGCCTTGTTGGGATTTCTTCTTGACCATTTAGTGAATTCATCTAAAAATGCCTGGAAATAGAAACAGTTACTGACCACAACAATGTCGTGTAGAAATATTAATCCAATTCTTTGGAGCACTGATCATCAGATACCAAAGAGTAACAGTAGTTTCCAAAAGATTTCCTCTTCCCTCAGACTTCTTAAAGAATTGCAGTTCAACCTGGGAATTTTCTCAACAACTAGCAGTGCTGATTTACTTTATTTTTGTGAGTAAACTAACACTATCCAGGCAAGTATGTCTGGAGGGATGCTGACACACTGGGAGTCAGGTATTGGAAGAGTTCCTTTATGAAAACTTTCTAGCCAATGACTAAATTAGGGACCACAAAGACCTGTAAAAGGATCAGTTTTTCCATTTTAGGGTCACAAAGACCCATCTTCTTATACTGGCTCTGCAGGAAGTCACATGCCTTTTTTGTAACCACTATCAGTTATCCTTCATCTTTTGAAGCCCTATAATTCTAATCTCTTATATCCAGTGTGCTTTGGTAGAATGTTTGTAGGTGAGCAGGGACTGGGCAACAATTTTCCTTGCAATCTTTGGCTGTTAGGTACATTCTGGGGTTGATTAACAATAAATACATATAGTACGCTTCATCTTTATGTCCAGTCAAAGCCTCCTGAATGAAAGCACTAAAATCCACATTAGAAAACATCATACATTGAAATTTTGTTTAGAAATGGGAAAACAAAAAGGCTTTTTGGTCATGTGAGTGATAAAATTGAGCAATGGGTGACAGAGAGGAGTTACAGAGTTTCACTTGGGTTGTCTTCATCCATTTTCTTTCTTTTAAGGTATCTTTGGGACTGTTTCTACTTTTTTTTTTTTTTTTTTTTTTTAGACAGGGTCTCATTCTGTCGCCCAGGCTGGAGTGTAGTGGCATGATCTTGGCTCACTGCAGCCTCAACCCCCTGGACTCAACTGATCCTCCCACCTCAGCCTCCCAAGTAGCTGGGACTACAGATGTGCACCACTGCACCTGGCAATTATTTATAGACATGAAATTTTGCCAGGATGCCCCGGGTGGTCTTGAACTCCTGGGCTCAAGCAATCCCCCTGCCTCACCCTCCCAAAGTGCTGGGATTATAGGCATGAGTCACTGTGCCAGTCCATATTTCTAATTCTTGATAAACAATGAAATTTGGGGCAGTTACTTTCCAGATTGCTACTGGAGATGCCACCCCAATAAAGGGCAGATGTTATTGTGAACTCAACAAGGACATAGATATCACGAACATTTTGCTAATAATAATTTTCCCCAAGTTTATCTTTGAGCAAAAACATATGTCTCTGGATATTTTATATTTACTGGGGGAAAGAAAACTAAGAAACTTTGGGGAGTAAATGTTACTTTTTGAACTATTATTATTATTTTTATTATTTGAAATGGAGTCTTGCTGTGTAGCCCAGGCTGGAGTGCAGTGGCAACAATCTCGGCTCACTGCAACCTCTGCCTCCCGGGTCCCGGTTCAAGCAATTCTCTGACCTCAGCCTCCCAAGTAGCTGGGATTACAGGCACAAGCCACCATGCCCAGCTAATTTTTGTATTTTTTTGTAGAGATGGGGTTTCGCCATGTTGGCCAGTCTGGTCTTGAACTCCTGACCCCATGATCCACCCACCTTGGCCTCCCAAAGTGCTGGGATTACAGGCCTGAGCCACTGCACCCAGCCTAAACTATTATTATTATTTCCTGTGGACAAATTTACTTATAAACTGTATCATGCAATACTTTGGAGCGTCTCTGGGGAACTTTGGGAAACATCTCCGGGACGACCACACTTCCATCCAGAATGGGCAAGAATAACTAAGAACTTAAAAAACAAAATTATCTTTGATCCTGTTTAAGTGCTAATGTTAGTTGTAGCAATTGCCTATCAGTCCTTAAAGTCAGGTAATGACTACTACCAGCTTTGAGGTTTGCCATGTGCTACATATCATGCAAAATACTTCAGACACACCTCTTTAAATAGTTAGAACAACTCCAAAAGGTGTTATTGCAACACTCCTCTTACACTTGATAAAACTGAGATTCAGGCTGGGTGCAGTGGCTCACACCTGTAATCCTAGCACTTTGGGAGGCCAAGGTGAGTGGATCACCTGAGTCAGGAGTTTGAGACCAGCCTGACCAATATGGAGAAACTCCATCTCTACTAATAATACAAAAATTAGCTGAGCATGGTAGCCCATGCCTGTAATCCCAGCTACTAGGGAGGCTAAGGTGGGAAGATTGCTTGAGCCTAGGAGGTGAAGGCTGCAGTGAGCCGAGATGGTGCCACTGCAGTCCAACCTGGGCGACAGAATGAGACTGTCTCAAAAAAAAACAACCCTGAGATTCAGAGAAGTATGCCATCCAACTTTCAAATGGCAAAACTGAATAGTTATACCATTCTTCTAATGTCAGTGGGAACTACTTAATAAGTGTGCTTTGACTCTTCTCCACTGCTGAATATGGTGCTGCTATTGCTAGTTTGTAGGCACGCATAGACATGTGTAGACTGGTCTATTCTATACAAATAACTAAATTCTTGAGGCTTCTCTTATTCTGCCCTTTCCCCACAGATAAAGACATGACTTAGCTTTCACATAGTCAGTGTTAAAATGTCTAGGCCATTTTTACACCAATAACTTTCCACTTCTGCCTAAGAATATATTTATTATAGATTAGCTTATCTCTTGATGAACCGTCTAGGAAGAACTACATGAATTATAAGTGTTGGCTCATAGCTAAATCATATGACAACCTCCCGTTAGCCACCATCACTTAAGGACACAGGAGTAGAAAACATGGTTATTCATAGATCTGATTGCTTTTGGATTCACTTGCCAGAATAACCAGATGGGATATGTAACCATACCTGATAGCCTTCATCGTCATCTGTATGTACCAGAAAGTGGACTTCTTGTAAAGTTTTCGGCCTTGCTCTGCTACTGTATTTGAACACTTCTGAAAGGATTAGTTTAGCAAAAACAGCTTTGGGAAACTGCAGATTTCCTGTTCCAATCAGGGGAAATGTGATTGATGAGAAAGATAGCTGATCTACGGTTGTCAAAGATTTCTTGATTATATTTGCCATGATCTGAAATGTGCAAAGTACATTTACATAAGTTAAAGCTTAAGCTGGTGGAAAACCAAGAGTTGTGGTCCCAGCAATTCTGACAAGCACCTGTCTGCTATTGTTGGCTTAGTTATGGCCTGCAAAGTCAGAAAGGGGAAAGAAAATAGGACAGAGTAGTTTCCAGAGAGAGTCAAACTCATTCAGGAGGGGCAGGTCCAACAGTGTGGGAATGGCTGGATAAAAATTGTACCTCAATGCAACTAAAAGTGATGCCTATGAAGAGTTTTTAACAACATTCAGTATTTATGTTAAGTTAAAAAAAAAGTATTAAAAAATGTTTAAAGAGAGAATATCAGGTCTAATATGGTGTTTCACACCTGTAATCCCAGCACTTTGGGAGGCTGAGGCGGGCAGATTGCTTGAGCCCTTGAGTTCAAGACCAGCCTGGGAAACATGGTGAAACCCCATGTTTACTAAAAATACAAAAATTAGCCAGGCATAGTGGTGCATGCCTGTAGTCCCAACCACTCAGGAGGCTGAGGTGGGAGGATCACCTGAGCCCAGGAGGCGGAGGTTGCAGTGAACTGAGATCACACCACTGCACTCCAGCCTGAGTGAGAGACTAAGACCCTGTTTCCAAAAAAAAGAGAAAGAAAGAAAAAAAGAGAATCTCAACTAAGAAATAAATATTAAGACCAGGCATGGTGGCTCATACCTATAATCCCAGCACTTTGGGAGGCTAAGGCAGGTAGATCACTTGAGGTCAGGAGTTTAAGGCAGGCAGATCACTTGAGGTCAGCCTGGCCAACATGGCGAAACCCCATCTCTACTAAAAATACAAAAATTAGCCGGGCCCAGTGGCAGGCACCTGTAATCCCAGCTACTTAGGAGGCTGAGGCAGGAGAATCACTTGAACCCCGCAGGTGGAGAAGAGGTTACAGTGAGCCAAGATAGTGCCACTGCACCCCAGCCTGGCTGACAGAGCAAGACTCTGTCTCAAAAAGAAGAAGAAAAAAAGTTATCTCTTGGTGGTTGGATTATTATTTTTATTGTCGTTTTGTTCTTTTCAACATTTTCCACAATGTATTTATATTACTTTTTTACATTCTGAAAAAAAGTTGCAAAATTAAACTGGGAGTGGAGGTGGAAATGATGTTATCAAAAGAAGGGCACTGACTCTTACTCATCACCACAGCATCGGGTGCACCTCTTTGCTATACTGAAGGATTATTACGTTACACCTTAGACACCATTCCTGGAGAATCCCAATGACTGTTATTACTTCTGAGGGTTAGTTACTCAGAAATAACTGGTAGTTGTGATGGATTCTCCATGGAATGTAATAAAGATTTCAATAGATAGACAGGGTTCAATCAATGTGAGGGTCTCACAGCCTAGGGCAGACGCTTCTTTGTTGGGGCTGGTGTGTGCATCATAGGATGTTTAGCAGCATCCCTTACCTCTACCCACTAGACACCAGCAGCAGTTGTAACAAGACAACTGCCCTCTGCAGGGCAAAACTGCCTTCCTTGAACACAGTTCTATACCACACCAGAAGGAGATTCCCAAAGCTACCAAATGAGGTGAAGAACTAAGAGCTTTCCCTACCTGCCAAGAAGTCCCTGCTCCATTATCCCAGCCTGGAGCCACGACATGGAGCACAGCTTTGCAGTCCAGATTGCAGCCACTTGTCATGAATATGCTACCCACTTTCTCCTCTGCTTCCTGCCTGGTGGCATCTAACTCTTTCTGGAGCATGGGACCGGCTTTGTGCAAAATTGCCCAAGATAGCGATCCTCCTCCAAGCTGAAGATTCATGGGAACGGTGTTGACAATGACATCGGCCTTAAAGAAAACAGCAACACTTACAGATTGAATCAATACACAATGACTGAGCACCTCCAAATTTACTAAGTATTGTGAGGTAATGTACAGGTATGTTTTGCCTATCATACTAACATGTCAGCACTACCCTCAAGGAACTTACAGTCCATTGTTAGCACTGAAACACCATGATGAGGTTACTTACAAAACTTAGACATTAAGGAGATACATTAACCATCACTGTGGAATCAACACGCAGTGAGTCAGAGTAGAACTGTGAAAATGAATCAGAGACAAAGACTAAGAGAGCGAGAAATGGAGAAAGAAGAAAAGTGAAAGTGAGAAACAGAGATGGACAGAGACAAAAACACAAAGATTGAGACAGAGATGGGAAGGGAGAGAGAACTGCTCTTAGGCTGGCAGGAACTGAGAATGCTTGTTTTTAATTTAACAATATACCAAAAGAAAGACTAGGTCAACATGAAGGAGACTCTGGTCAGCCCTGAAGGCCTAGGCAAAGCAAAGTCACTATGATAAAGGTACGCAGTGTCCAATCTAGCCTGTCCAGGTACATCAGGTTCTCCAATGTCAATGCAAAGGCTCTTCCTTTGGTGAGATGAGGGTCATAGCCTAATGCCATGAGATGTTACATATTCAACTCATAACTCCTATTACTCAGATTTTGTGCTCACCAGAAACTTTCTGATTCCCTGCTAATTTGGGATTAGGAGGAGACAAACACCCTGATCGTGTGGCTTTTTTTTTTTCTTTTTTTCTTTTTTTGAGGCAGAGTTTCGATCTGTTCCCCAAGCTGGACCTTGGCTCACTGCAGCCTGTGCCTCCCAGGTTCAAGCAATTCTCGTGCCTCAGTCTCCGAGTAGCTGGGATTACAGGCATGACCCACCATGCCTGACTAATTTTTCTATTATTAGTAGAGATAGGGTTTCGCCATGTTGGCCAGCTGGTCTCAAACTCTGGCCTCAAGTGACCTGCCCACCTCGGCCTCCCAAAATGCTGGGATTACTGGCATGAGCCCGGCCTGATCTTTGAATGTCCTGGGTCTTTGTCCGGATTTTGAATGTCCTGGGTCTTTGGGGGAACTCTTGTTCATTGTAAATTAAAAGATGTCTATGTCTTTGGGACATATAATAGGTTATATTTCTCAATCTAATAATTGGCATTCTTGGGTCCACTTATATATGTTAGCATGTGAGGTATTATATGAAGTTATCATAAACCAATCTGAAGATCTGAAAAGCCCCTTGCAGAGACAAGAGTGAGTGAGCCATCCAAGAAACAAAACAAAAAGAAACAAAATTAGATCTAGCCCATGTTTTCCTCACTCACACTTGCAGTCTCACTCTCTATTTACTGATTCCTACACAGTTTGAGGAAGCAATATATTCACATGTAAAAAAATAGGCCGGACATGGTGATTTATGCCTGTAATCCCAGCATTTTGGGAGGATGAGGCAGGAGGATCGCTTTGAACCCCAGAGTTCGAGACCAGCCTGAGCAACTAACACTTAAATAAGTTCAAAATAATCAAAAGACACACTCTGTTAAATATACAAATATTGTTATAAAGCTTCAAAAAAGGTAGGAAACGATTTAGATTGGAATAGTGAGTGAAAGCTTTACCAAGGGGATAAGAATTTGAGATAGGCCTTAAAGAATGGCTATAACTGGGTCAGGTAGAAAGAAGGCAGCAAGGCATTTGAGGTGTGTGGAATATTTAAGAAAGCATAGGATTGTGGCCAGGCACAGTGGCTCACACCTGTAATCCCAGCACTTTGGGAGGCTGAGGCAGGAGAATCACTTGAACCAAGGAGGCAGAGGTTGCAGTGAGCCGAGATCGCACCACTGCATTCCAGCGAGACTCCATCTCAAAGAAAGAAAAGATAGCAAGAAGGCATAGGATTGTGAAAGATCAGAAAGTAGTCAAATTTAGCTAAAGCAGAGGTTCAATAGTGAGAAGAGGAGCTGGGAAGAAATCTAGGGCCAGATGATGGAGTACTTGGAAAGCCACACATTTTTGGACTTTGCCCTATAGGTAGTAGGAACTTACTGAAGATGTGTGTGCAGAGAAGTACCTGTTAAAGTAATGTTTTTGGAATATATATCAGTGACAGAGAGGACAGGTTAAAGAGTGACAAGGGAGCCAGAGTAGTGCTAAGGTTTGATTGGGGGTTGGGGGTGGTGTGTACTGAAATATGGGTAGACAATGGCAATGAAAAGGAAAGGCATGTACATGACGTATTTTGAAAGGGGGCTTATTAGGGCTTGGAAACTAACTGGATAGGAGAAAGAATTCGGAGAAAAAAGATGAAGAGGATTCTAAAGTTTATACAGTACCATCCAATGGTGTGAGAATGGATAAACCCCAAAATGAGTTAACATAAAATTTATAATCAACTCAGTGGACTACATAATGAAAAGACCTTGGTCTCTTCATCTATAAAATGTGAGTAAGTAATATATATCTTAATTAGGTTGAGTACTAATTGAGTAAGGTAAAAGATAAAGTGGCCCATCAGATGGGGGATAATGATAACAGCTATCATTTTTTTGAGTCCTTACTATGTGCAAGGCAGGGGATAAGTACTTTATATAAATTATTTCATTAAACCTCATAACCTTCAGATCATCATCATCCATATTTATAGATAAGAACCCGGAGACATAAGATGGATATTGACCAAGATCAGTGGCTGTTCAGTGGTGGAGCAGTACTTGAACCCTGCCAGAACTGGCTTTAGAGTTGGTCTGCTTACTCACCACACTATGCCTACACCTAGAGTGAAAAATAAATTTAATGTACTTTTATATCATCCAGTTCTTCTGGTGATATTACTCACCAATCACTCTCATGATAGTCAGTTGCAGAGCTCACTGTTACCAGTAGCCATGGCAATCATCTTTCTCATTGCAAATGAAATAATTACAATACCAGTTTTATAAATAATTCTCTTGAGTTTGATTAGTGCAAGCCTATCTGCAAGTCTATAAATTCTATGTAAAATGATAAGATGCAACTTCTCAACCTGCTGATTTGAGGACAAGGTCCTGAATCCACGTGACAGAGGACTCTTAAAAACTCCATACTCTAGAGAACATGAAGAAAGCAGCTGGCTGTCTCCCCTCTGCCACCCCATTAACCACAGCAAATGCAAAGAATATTTCCAGTGGCTCATAATCCAGAAGAATCTCCCAATTTCTCAGCAGTTCTCTTTCTGTTAGTCCAGAATATCTGCCATCTGAAGGTAAACATCAGGTGTCCAAATGGTGGGGCTACAGAATTCTAAGAAGCATCTGAACCAGTGATTCTCAGCCCTAGCTACATCAGATAATCACTTGGAATGCTTTCAGAAACTATTATCACCTACACCACATCCCTGGTCAATTAAAATCGGGATCTCTAGGGGTGGGGCCTAGGCGTACGTATTTTTAAAAGGTCCCCCAGATGATTATGATCTGCAGCCAGGATTGAGTATGATGGATGTCAACTATAGAAGGAATACAGAGCCTGTATCTCTTGTTAATTGGTGATTCCAAAGAAGGGGAAGCAATAGGAGAGAAAGGGTAGGCAGGAGCCAGGCTGAGAATTTTCCACCTGTTCTGGTAACCTTTATCCCTCCTCATTCTTCCTGTGTTTCTGCAAAGTCCTCAGGCAGGAGCAAAGGTGTGTGTTTGTGAAGGGTGATTTTATAGTGTGGTATACACATATTTTCCTCATTAATGCTGACTGGTGCAGGACAAAAAAACAACTTGGTTGAGAGTAAGTCAAGATCAGTTACAGAGAAAATAAGTGGATTTGCAAACTCTTGTTTGTGGTTAAACTTGAACCCCTCCATATGAGTACATGTGGAAGAATATGGGAGATGGCAAGTATATTTCTGCATAAACTTTAAGTGGGGTTAACTTCTCAAACTTACCTTGATATCTTTAATCTTTGATTAAGATAAAGACCAAGTTAAATCATGTAACAAGTCACAGAGCTAGTTAATTAGATCCCATTGCTCCTTGGTAGATTTATTAAATGGCATCACCTACCCAGATGTACAGAACATCTCCACTTATCAACTTGAGGTTCAGACCTTCTTTGGTTTGGATTGAAGCTAGAACATTTCTGATTGAAAAATAATCTTTCTTGCTGAACTCGTCTCTGGACTGTGGAGAAAACAGTAAAGCATTACCAGCAATGCCAATTTCAAGACTTCCCTTAGGCCAGGGGCATGGCTCAGGTCTGTAATCCCAGAACTTTGGTGGAAGAATCACTTGAGCCCAGGAGTTCAAGAACAGCCTGGGAAACATATTGAGACCCTGTCTCTACAAAAAATAAATGTAAAAAAATCATCCAGGCTCAGTGGCATGTGCCTGTAGTCCCCACTACTCAGGAGGCTGAGGTAGGAGGATTGCTTGACCCTGGGAGATCAAGGTGGGAGTGAGCCATGATGGCACCACTGCACTCCAGCCTGGGCAACAAAGCAAGACCCTGTCTCAAAAAAAAAAATTATAAATAAATAAACTTTCCTTACAGGTGTTTGTATAGAAAATAACTGTTACATTTCACAGAATTCTCTAACTCAACTCATAGCTCTGAGATTTAAAAGCAAATAGTTGATTATTATAATGTTTAAGTATCAATTATATTTAATACCCCAAATGCCAGTGAGCTTTTTTACTTATTCCCCCCAAGAATCCTAGCATAGCCAACCCTGTCTGTATCCCGCAGCCCTTACTATTTAAGTGTACCCTGGACATGTTTCCAACTGCATTTCTTGCCTGGGGACTTTCTTTAGTGCCAAAGCTCACTTGGCTTGTTGGTATAGCACAGAGGGAGTGCAGGTATATTGAGCTCCCCTCCACAAGCTCCCGCCCCCCACCCGCCCTCATCCAGTGATTGACAGGAAATGGCATAAAAATATGGCAGCAACCTTGCCTCCCAGAGAGAGTCACTATGAGTTTCCCCAGTGGGATTAAGAGGGAGCTGATTTGATGATACACTCTATCAGTTTCCTTTACTTTTTTTTTTTTTTTTTTTTTTTTCTCCTGAGATGGAGTCTTCCTCTGTTGCCCAGGCTAGAGTGCAGTGGCACAGCCTTGGCTCACTGCAACCTCCACCTCCCAGGTTCAAATGATTCTCCCGCCTCAGCCTCCTGAATAACTAGGATTACAGGTGCACACCACCATGCCCAGCTAATTTTTGTATTTTTTTTAGTACAGTTGGGGTTTCACCATGTTGACCAGCCTGGTCTTGAATGCCTAACCTCAAGTGATTCGCCCACCTCAGCCTCCCAAAGTGCTGGGATTATAGGCATAAACCACCACACCCAGCCTATTTCCTTTACTTTCTTAGTTAAATAACTTGCAATTGAATCCTGTCTTATGGTCCCCTTCAGGAGGCACTCCAACTAAGACATATCCCTGAGTACTCCATAATAATGCATTGGAGTTTGACTATTAATCAATCATAGAATTTTAGAATTTAAAGGGTTATAACAGATCATCCAAAATAGAAATTTCATTGTCCTGAAAAGGAAACCAGTGTGCAGATGGATGAAGTCATTTGGCCAAAATCAAACTACTAGCTAATGGAGGACACAGTGCTTGAATCCAGTCTCTTGACACTCAGTTCATTTCTACTCTTCATGGAATCTGAGCTGATCTACCTCAGGGTATTTGTCACACAAATGGTGAAAACATAGCACATGTCACCCCTCTTGCACCTGTGACAGACATTACTAATCTTCATCAGCATTCTTTTTCAATCAACCTAGATCCAGTCTCAGAATCTTCCTCAGCACAGAGCTCCAGGCAACAACTATCATTTGGTCAGAGGTAATCCATGAAACAAAGCTTATTTTCCATGCCTGATCTCACTGAAAAAGGATATCAATTTTCTTTATTTAAAACTGTCCTTGATTATTTTTCACTCTCTGCTTTGGCAGCGGGTTTCTGGGCAATACTTTCATTTGCTCAAGAATTTCATGATTTGTTAGTCTTCTGCATGCAGGCTGGTATGTTGGATGAAAGTTTTCTCAGTGATCTCCCACAAGAATTCCTTGGATAAAAGGCTTTTAAAGCATTGATGTGAAGACTAGAAAACCTCCCAAAAGAACTAGCCACATTCTCTGTCATATTTTGGCTTTCCTTTTAATGTTTTGGTTGATGCTTTCTCTTACTGTCTTTAATTGTGTTACATCCCTTCACATCCTCCAAACAACCAGTTAGTATTGTGATAGCCTAATTCATGCTAGCCCAATTGACTTCATCTTAGCTGTGAGCCAGATGGACTCCATCTTAGCCTCTCTGCCATTTCTCCCACCATGTCTCCCTCGGGTGCATAACTGGGTCACACTGACACTGTGCTTCTGCCACGCTGACGCTGTGCTTATCCTACCATATAACCGTTGTAACCATATCCTGTTGGCAAGCACACCTGCTATTGTGAATACTCCTCCTCGGACCCCCTTGGTGATTGTTTGGAAAATACCCTGGCCTGCAACCACGCCCCTCTAACCTGCTCATTCTGCTTCTGTAAAATTCCACTTCAGCTAGGCTCCCCCTCCCCTACCCTAATCAAGGCATAAAAAGGAGTCAAGCCCCTTCCTCGAGGCCGAGAGAATTTTGAGCATTAGCCATCTCTCGGTCGCTGGGAATAAAGGACTCCTGATTCAATCTCAGAGTGTGGCGCTTTCTCTATAACTTGCTCAGTTACAACAGTATGACCATCTCCTTGAACATGTCAAACTCAATCAAAATCCTAGCATCCTCTACACTGTTTTTTATGTAATCCCATACAGGCTTCACACTCAATTGGGTGACTTGATATTTAGACACAATGGAGAATTTTTTACAAGCATGTTATCTACAGGTTTTAACATTGATGTTTTTCGGTCTTCCTTGAGTGAGCTGGGTGGTTGCAGACCTGCGTGTTACCTCCAACCCCTTGTGACTGCCTTGCAATCATGTTACCTCACAGTGAAAACTTCTCATCTTGTGATGTGTCATTCTGATTAGTTGATGCATTTTAGGCAAGAACTTCCATATGTGAGGATCCAGGGCCACCAGGAGTGGTGCTGACAATATTTTCAGGGACTTTTCCCCTTGATACGAGGCTGTGCCCCAAAACACATAATACTGGGACACAGATATGGGTCTTTCATTGAAAACCCAAACTTTTTGGCCAAGTAGGTGTCCACCACTAAAAATAAAAATAAAGGGTAGGTGTCATTCAGACAAAACCAAATGGTAATATTTTAAAGAGTAAAAGGTACCTCTAGCACATAAATCCTGACACTCATGAGACTGAAATAGACTGTCTTCTTAAAATGACACCACTGTCAACAGCTCAGTGAAAGATGTGATATTCGTAAATGCAGTGGAGTTAATCCTCACCTAATGGAACAGATCGATTCCATACATGTTTACTTAGCCGTAAAGTTTTTTTTTTTTTTTTTTTTTTTTTGAGAAGGGGTTTTTCTCTTTTTTCCCAGGCTGGAGTGCAATGGCGCGATCTCGGCTCACCGCAACCTCCGCCTCCCAGGTTCAGGCAATTCTCCTGCCCCAGCCTCCTGAGTCGCTGGGATTACAGGCACGCGCCACCATGCCCAGCTAATTTTTTGTATTTTTAGTACAGACGGGGTTTCACCATGTTGACCAGGATGGTCTCGATCTCTTGACCTCGTGATCCACCCGCCTCGGCCTCCCAAAGTGCTGGGATTACAGGCTTGAGCCACCGCGCCCGGCCTAGCCGTAAAGTTTTATCACATTGATCTGATTTTCCCATTGACATTCACTGTAATATTGAAAAGGTAATTCTTTTCCTGACAAAGTCTTGCCCTTAGAGATTCAATAAATACAAGCAACAATGCATGAGCAATTCAAAATAACCTATTTGAAGTAAGGTCATTACCATTTTTAAAGGAATGGTTATAATAGTCAAAAATATTAGAAACAATTATGTGCTATAATTGAAAGAGGTCATAAAATTAGGTCAGATTCCCTAGCAACAAAGCCTGAGTTTGGGATGCATGTGCAAGTGATTTATTAAGGTTGTGCCCTCAGGAGAAACCTGTAGGAAGTGAGAGATGAAGTTGGAGAAGGGGAAGAAGCTAAGCTAGAATGTGTTTTTAGGTTCACCCTGGTTCCTGCCTGATCCCCCAGGGAGCTCTGGAGTGTATAACTTCCTTAAGAGCATTTGTCCCTCTTAGGGGCAAGGGAGTTCAGTTCTTCTACCTCCATACAGTCAGTTATTGTCTACGGACCATCTGATCAGGAGATGAATGTCAACTCCCAGGGACCTCTAGAGAGGCACCTTTAGTCTCCCAAAGGCAATCCCGAGGGAAATGTTGCAAGTGTGAGTCCTTAACAGTAATATAGTCAATAAGCAATTGGCTTATGAATGCACCTGATAAGTAAAAGAGACCAAGCCCAGGGCATCTGGGAGAGGTGCAAAAGAAAAGAAAGACCACTAAGGCAAGTCCAAAGAATAACTGCACAAGTTTGAGAGAAAAAGAATGTGGCTCAGCAGCCAAGTCATATAAAAACGTCTAGGGCATCCTGCTTGGCAGTAAACTCAGTACAAATCAACAGTAATATAGCTCTGTTTAAGAAAAGAAAAAAGGGCCACCAAATGCTGGCAAGGATGTGGAGCAGCAGGAACACTCATTCATTGCTGGTGGGAATGCAAAATGCTACAGCCACATTGGAAGACAGGCGGTTTTTTACAAAACTAAACATACTCTTCCCATATGATTCAGCAATTGCATTACTTGGTATTTACCCAAATAAATTGAAAATTTTGTTTACTCAAAACCTGCACATGAATGTTTCTGGAAGCAATATAGCTTTATTCATAACTGCCAAAACTTGGAAGCAACCAAGATGTCCTTCTATAAGTGAATGGATAAATAAACTGTAGTATCCCATGCTATTATTTAGTACTAAAAAGAAAAAAACTGAGTCATCAAGTCACACACACACACACACACACACACACACACACACACACAAAGAAAGAAACTTAAATGCAGATTCCTAGGTGAAGAAGTCAGTCTGAAAACTACATCCTGTATTATTTAACCATATGACATTCTGGAAAAGGCAAAACTACAGAGACAGTAAACAGATTAGTGGTTGCCAGAGATTTGGGAGGAGGAGAGGGG